TAGGAATAATATAGAGGTTGTTCCCTTAAATACTGACTCTAGGTCTTGAACAAGGGGGCCCCACCCTCTAATTGGCTCGAGAGGGATTCGATTTGATGGTTGGACCACAAACCAATTGTTCATTAGAGGATCGGTGGGACTTAAGGAACAATAAGTAACTTCAAGGGTAAAATGGTAAATTGACCCAGCTGTTGTTACAAACAACTTGTGAATGATCGACTTATTAATCATGGTTATATCAAATGGACATAAGTATATCTATAGTGAGGGAAATGCAACTACTAGGCTATAGTGGAGAGTCCTGGTAGTTAACGAATGTTAGTTAACAAGATTAATGAGTTTAGCTGGTTGATCTTGGATCGTTGGGGCCCATGATCTGTAAGTCCATTAGGTTCCCCTACTAGCTCATATCGGATTAAACCTTAGAACAGTATGACGAGTAAGTTTCAAGTGTTTGAATTCAAATTAGGGAATATGTGTTAAATATACGTGATATATTTAACTGCATTTTGTTTTAATTACGAATTAAACAAAAAAAAAAGAGAATGAGAGATATTTAAATAAGATTTAAATATTTTAATTATGAATAGGATTGTCTTTGATTTAATGTTAAATATTAAATAAATTGTTTAATTAATTATTTAATATTATTTTAATTTAAAATTAATTGTTGAATTAAAATAGAGAAAGTCAAAATGTTGACTTCACTCAATCGAAGAATACATGTTTGAGTTAGTGGAACAGAGTGTCAACATATGGTTTAACCAAACTTTCATGTTTGCCACATAATTCTAGATGTATTTTCGTAATTTTTAACTTACATTATACATTTATCCATAAGTGTCCCTCTAAAGTCCTACGAGGGCATATTCTCACCGTTTAAGACAAGATATGCTTACATGTTAGCTCGTCCTAGCTATACCTATAAATATTAATTGAAGGAAGTCTAATTGGTTACTTACTTTCGTGAAATGTGCCTTCCCGAGCTTACCTTTCTCTTGTTAGAAGCTCCAAATTTTCTAAAATTCTTCTAGTATGTCATAATTTAAGTCATAATTAGGTTAGTATCAAAATGGGAGAAAAACAATTAAATAGTTGTTGAAATGAAAAAAAAAACCTCACGCGCACGGTCTCGTGCCCTCCTCTAATGCCTTAAAATGTGGTTGCTCAAATGTTTGACGCGTGTACTCGTCAGCATTTAACGCATTCTTGAGGAGGGTCTTGGGACTAACACAGGTAGTTAGCTCTCAAGAAGATTCTTTTTATTGAGTGTAATAACGGGTCTAGGCAAAGGCCGCCATTTCATAAACCTGTCTTGAGAATAACTTGAGACTACACATGTAGTTGGCTTGGGATGAGTGCTCCTATTCAGTATAGGAACAAGACAAAGGTTGAGGCTGCAATTCCGTAAACCAATCTTGAGAGGAGACTTGGGACTACATAGGCAATTGGCACATGATGATTGTCCTTAATGAGTATGCGGGGTCACTCCTTTAGATTTAGTAGATGTTATGGTTCGATATTAAGGGTTGCCAACTAATCAGACTTCACCTTTTAAATGGCCCGTGAGAGACTTAGTTTATGGTTAGATTATAAACATATTGTTTAATGGAGGATTAAGGTAGAAAATGTAATCACAATGGTAAAATAGATTTTTGATCCAGCAGTAATTACGAACAATTCGTGAAAAATTGACTTAGTTGTAATGATTATATCAATAAACATAATTTATACTATATAAGAGTGCAACTCTAAGTCTAGCGTGGAACAACTTATTATTAATAAATAAAAAATAATTAATTAAAAAGTTTAATTAATTAATTTGTATAATTTAAGTTTATATTATAATGTATAGGCTCATAAGTTTTTTTTAGGGATAAATTAAATTAAAAGAATAATTTAAAGTGTTCTATGCTTTTTTTTTTAAAGAATAAAACAAACTTTAAAATTTATTTGCAGGCTGTGGGGTTCGAACCCACGCGCACTTATGTGCAGAAGATCTTAAGTCTTCCCCCTTAACCACTCGGGCAAACCTGCGGAATTTATTGCAAGCTTAACAGTTTATAATTATTAACCTAAATATTCAATAAGTCAAGTATTCTTTTGATCATTAAAAATTACATTAATATTTAATTCTTTTTCATTAATAATTAAAAATATGTTTTGAAATGATTTAAATATGTCAATTTTAATCATTTGAAAATTACTCGGTACAATTTATATTTAATAAGCCTTTAACTCATTTAATTTTTTTAAATATTAATGTATTTATGAAATTGAAATTTTAAAATTAGATACTAAATTAAATTATGTGTAATAAAATAATTAAGTTTATTTTATATAATATATCCATAGATCTATTAAATAGAAAGTTTAAAATTTATGAATTATTTAAGACCTTTTAAAGTTAAAAAATTAAAAACTTAATTATTATATTGTTTAAAAATTTCACGAGCATCCCACCTTACTCGATTTTTATAAAAATATTTGAAAAGTCATTCCAAACCAAACTACAAACTCTATAATAAAACGAAGTACGAGATAAGTACAAATTCTCAATCAGTTTCTACCGCTAATGCTAACCAAGCAAAACCCTCGAAATGGCCTAAAAAAGAAAATGGGTGCACTTTATAAATTGGGAATTTGGGGATCATATTGCCAAAAAGAGTCAAAGTTTCATGGCTTTTAAATCATTTTCGGAACAAGGGTGGAAGATCATCGGAGCCTGTAAGAAAGGTTGGTATAAGCTTCGAGATATTCTAAAAATATAGCTAAAGTCGGGTTGCGAGAAAGGTGCGTGCATTTCAGATGACCCGGGACTAAAAAGGTTAAAACAATGTATGACTAGATATAGTTAAATGTATGAGAAAGAAAGTAAAAACTCTGGCTCGATCATAAATTCTACCGTGTTAAATACTTGACTTTTATGCTTTTTTCGATTTCTTTTATTTTCTATAATTACGTTGCTTTATTTGTATAAAGTATGATTGTTGTCTCGAACTTGTACCGGAGTGAATTGCAAATTTGAGTGAATAATAAATTTTACAAATATTAAAAAAAATGTTTTAGATAAAACTCGAGCCACAAACCGTCACTTGTTTAAATTTTTTTAAAACATACTTAGGCTTTAATAAACATCAATTAAAAACCCTACTTTTAATTTAAATTTCCCTAAATTAACCGATGTGGGACTTTCATCATCCAACACCTCCCCTCGAACAAAGCACGCCTCCCCTTAATCGAGGCTCGACTCCTTTGGAGTCTTAGTCATTTTTGACTGCCTTCGTACCTTCGAGGAGGCTTGACTCCTTCTGGAGTCCTTTGTTCGACATTTAAGGATTTGTCAATCTATTGACACGGCTAAGTTTAGGGCATGGCTCTGATACCATGTTAGACGAACACGACTCTCCACAATGGTATGATATTGTCCACTTTGAGCATAAGCTCTCATGGCTTTGCTTTGGGCTTCCCAAAAGGCCTCATACCAATGGAGAGTGTATTCTTAGATTATAAACCCATGACCATTCCCTAAATTAACCGATGTGGGACTTTCATCATCCAACAAAATCATTTATAAATTTGGAGAAATACAAGACATCGATCTAGTCTAACCCCTATAGTCTCGCAACGCCTAACTTACTTGTAATTTTATTTGTTCGTTCTTAAGTCTTATTCTTGTTGATTCATCCATTCATTTGATCCTAAGTTTTAAGTTTTCCTACACTATCTCCTAGGTTTAAAGTCATAAGTTCTCTTTTCTTAGCCTATCTAGGCCGTTAGTTCTCGGGGTTCATTCTTGGAGTTCTTAAGTATCTTAATTAGATATTCTTCATTATCATCACCATCATTAACCCAAATCTCGTGGTTCTCGAGGCATGACCCCAATGTCATTTCAACCAATAGTTTTCACCATACTATAATGAACGTTGTCCTCATACTTTTTGGTAAGGTTTGGTTGACATCTTCATGGAGAGGGTAAGGCTCAATCTTGTCAACACTCATCTAGTTATATGTGTTAGGATTTATGTCATAAAGTCTCGTAATTAATTATTTAATTTTTAATAATAACTTTGATTATTTTATTTAATATTGTCCGTGGTTGAAAAATCAAAAGTTATTAATAAACCTTAAACATTATCTAGTAGATATATAATGAGGATCATGTTCACGTACGACTTCTTCAACTATCTTATCTTGGTAACTTGTCTTTCCATTTGTGACAACTTCTCCATTATTGATGATCATGGTTCTCTTGTTAGGACGATCACGATCACGACTAATATGATCAATTTCTTAACATTTCCAAAATTTGATGTCTCTATTTCTCTCTCGAGCCTTTTTTGTATTCCACAACCTCTCTCGAACCTCTTAAAATCAAATATCTAGGAGTAAAATAGGATCAATGTTTTGAGTGACTGAAATGCAATCTACCACAACCTCTCTCGAACCTCTTAAAATCAAACATCTCATATTCAACCAACTCAAAACCATATAAATGGACTAAATTATTCTAAATGTCATTAAACTTTGAAGATTCAATTAATTTTTTTTTAAAAAAATATATAATAAATTTTTAAATTTTAAAAAATTATTTTAATCTAGGGTATTAGTAAATCTTTTTAAAGTTAATAGTATTTTTTAGTCATAATAAAAAATTTAAATATATTTTTAGAGGATATTATTAAATATTTTAAAAGTTTAGAATATTTTTAAATTAAAGCTAAAGATATTTATATTAATTTATCCAAAAAAAAAGAAAAAAAAATGAAGCTCCGGGGATTGCCACGTCAGCACAAGGCATGTTACTCAGCGCCTTCAGCATAAACCGTCCCAATTGCCCCCTTTCCCATTGCCATTCCCTTGTGAGAAAACAGAGGCTTTGACGGAACGTTTATTTCTGTCCGACCAAATACTGCATTTTACATTTCTACCCCTTACGCTCCTCGTTGTCAACTCTGTCTGATTCTAAATTCATCATTTTCCAAAGGAGAAACTCGTAGTTTCACCCCTCCCAGCTCAACACTCGCTTCTCAACAAACAATGTCATCGGAATTTCGGAATCTAGCCCTATTTTCCTTTCCCCCTTTTCCCCCTTTCCACGAGACGAGCCAGATCTGCGAAGCTCCATTTCAAATTTCGAAACACAACAGCACGCCCGATTCTTTCAGTTTTTCGATCTCTTCGATTCGATTTCTTATTGGTTTCGAATCGGGAGCTCGTTAACGATGAGCGATTTCAATCTCGCTCTTGTAATCGTCGCGATAGTCGTCTGTGTCATTATATTCATCTTCAATGTGTACCTTCTGGTTAATTACCAGCACCCTGATGATAAGAATCAGGCGTATTTTCCTAAAGTTGTCGTCGTTTTCGGCCTCTCTGTTGCCTTGATTTCTATTTTGATGTTACCGGCTGACGTCGCTAATCGGCAGGCTTGCAAGCACGCTTTGTATAATGGCGCTTGTAACCTCACATTGCCGATGAAGGATCTGTGGCTCGCTATCTATATCGTCGATGCTGTGCTCGTCTTCTTCATTATTCCTTTCGCCATGTTCTACTACGAAGGAGACCAGGACAAGTAATTGCTTAGAATTTGAGTCTTTTCTGAACATAATTATATCTTTTGTCTGGAGGCTTTATTGATTATTATTATTATTTGTGTTATCGTTGTGAAGGGGCCTTGGCAAACGGATCAAAAGCGCCTTGATATGGGTTGTGGTAATGGCAATTGTCTGTGCTCTCCTGTTGGGAATTTTATACGGTCAGCTCTTATGCTCATTCTTGAGGATTTTTGCGTTTTTTTGGTCTTATATTTCGTTTTTAATTGGATAGAAGAAGTTGTGCCGACTCTACACTAAACTTGCTTTAGTTTTACGCTCATTTCTTGTTTGCTCTCAAATTAATTGTACTTTAGGCTTCTTCCTCACATATCAACCAATGAAGGCTTGAAATATGATCATGCTTCGATTTTTTCTTTCCTTTATAATTACATTCTCATTTTACCTCAAGAATAGCCAAGTAATGAATTGACTGTTCCATGGTTCTCTTACTGTAGAATATAAATGTTCTTTCAATTTGTGAATGTGTGTACCTAAATTATAACAATTTCTTATTTCCCTCTAAGACTCAGTTTTCTGTTGAAAATTTTCTATGTGCCCATGTCTTTTAACTGCCAAACTTTGTGGGTATATTTATCAGGGCTTGTAGGAGAAGTTGACTTCACCGTTATGCATCTCTCCTCAAACACTGCTTCTTTTCCCAATCAGTGGCAGTTCTCTAGCAGCCAGCCATGCATTGGAAATGGTGCCCGGCAGGTTCTACTTCTGTTTGGAAATTTTAGGCCTCATATATGGTTCTATTTGGCTATTTGGCTTCAGTCATCAGATCTTAATTATGGATTTGCATAATGTTAACATCTACATGACTCCTTTATCTCATTGTGTTGTAGTGTTCAGCATTCACAACAAGTGCCTCATCGGAGAAAACATGGACAATGCGCACTACTTTTCCTGAATATGTTGTTGCTCTTGCCACTATTGTTGGATCCGTACTCTTCTCTGTAAGTTCATTAATGGAGATTGGAGGAAAACACTAGATCTCCTTCATTTACGAAATAGTGAACCATTTGAATACATGTACTCTGCCATTTCTCATATCGCCTATTAGTCTGTCTAGTAATTGGAATTCACGACGAATTATAATATTGAATTTACTGACAAATGTTTCATGTTTAATTTATGCATACTGCTCATCTTCCCATATAAATATCATTAGTGAATTATTTCCACAAAGTGAACTTCTTGGTGTTTATCAATTCATTGCTTTTTAACCTGCAAATAATATTTCGTGCTGTTTAATTTTACAATAATCAAACAAATTTTTTCTGATCTCTTTTTCTTTTCCTCTCCACTAGATATTTGGAGGTGTTGGCATTGCATGTCTGCCCTTGGGCCTCATTTTCTCATTCGTTAGGCGTCCAAAGGCCGTTATCACTCGTTCACAATATATCAAGGTACTTTTTAGTTTTTTATAATGAAAATTAGTTATTATTTTAATTTTGGGTTTGACTTGCTAATTTCTATCATATAAGTTATATTTTCTATTCTACAGGAAGCAACAGATCTAGGGAAAAAAGCAAGAGAAGTGAAGAAAGCTGCTGATGCACTTCACCAGGAAGAAAGAAGTGGTTCTAAGGGTAGAAAATGGCGAAAGAATGTGAAGGCTGTAGAGAAGGTATGTTTTACGATCGATACATTTTGGCCTTGATGCTCTTTTGGGGTTCTCCCCCCAAATTCTATTTGAATACTTGCATTCTTCATTGTTATCATAAGAACTTCAGCTTTGGCTAGAAGTCCTGAGAGTATCATCTTTGTTAGATGAGAAATTCAATACATTATTGAAGCTTGATTTAAGATGTTCAGCCTTAATTCTTACTGTGCTTATTGGGACATCTACTTGTTTAATTTTGTAGGAGTTGCTTCAATTGGAAGAAGATGTAAAGCTTTTAGAAGAGATGTACCCACAAGGAGAAAAGGTGGACTGCTGGATATAATTTCTGTTATCTTTTCTATTGGACAATTGCTATAACTTTATTATCTCCTACATGAAAATGTTAATATACAGGCGGAGACTGCATGGGCAATGACTGTTCTTGGCTACTTGGCAAAACTTGTGTTCGGAATTTTGGGGTAAGGAAGTTATGATCCCCCAAGATATTTATATTCAAGAATATTCTATTCTTTTCTTTCTTGTCAGCCTAGCAGCTGTTTCACATTCAAGTTTTATTTAAAAAATAGGTGCACAGCGATTAATTGAAAAGTGGGAGAGGTGGCATCTTGGTTTAATGTGTGTGTGTGTGTGTATCTATATATAATGTTGCTAGACTAAGAGGTAGATAATATTGGAGGAGGGGGTTGCATTTGAGTCGCATTTTATATCTATTATAACCATCAACAACGGAAAGAGAATATTTAGTGGAAAACTTGATAAAACATTGTGTTGCTCTTCTAACATCAGGATCTTGTGGGTTTCTTAAAATCTTTTCTTTTCTTTTCTTTTCTTTTCTTTTTTTTTCTTTGTTGAGAATAGATGATGTCCATTTCACTTCCCTTTTTCTTTCTGTTTATCTGCACGAGGTAGTTGACCTAGTTGGCACATTTCTTATTTTTGTTTTTCATGGTTATGTTCCATCTCTTCTGGAAATAAGTTCCTTGAGAAAGTTTATACACTTGAGTGTATCTGCATTTTTTTCAGATTTGAGACATTCAGTCACATTGTATAATTTACCCATTTTTCTATTCGTCAGGTTGATTGTTTCAGTGGCTTGGGTTGTACATATTGTTATATATCTACTAATTGATCCCCCGCTTTCTCCTTTCCTGAATGAAGTTTTTATCAAGCTGGATGATGTCTGGGGTACAGTTTTTCCTCTCACATTTTGCTTTCATGTTTTTTTTTTATCTGTGATGAATGTGGGTATGATGATTATATTCCTATGTCACCAGGTCTTCTTGGAACTGCAGCTTTTGCCTTCTTCTGCTTCTACCTTCTTCTTGCAGTAGTTGCTGGAGCCATGATGCTTGGCTTGAGACTAGTTTTTATCACAATTCATCCCATGAAGTACTTACATTCTTCTTAGTGTTGATTTTTTTTTTTCTTTTCTTTTATTTTGTTGTTTGTCCAGCTGTTGATTACTGGAAATTGATGTCGTGGTTTTGCTTCTCTTTCGTCTATGCTTGCATATAGGTGGGGAGCCACTCTGATGAACTCGTTCCTATTTAATGTGGGGCTTATCCTCCTCTGCTCTATCAGGTGGGGATCTTCAGGTTCTATTGCTTATTCTTACCCCATTTTAAATCTATTTTTATTTCTTATTATATCTACAAAATCTTCTGTGGTAACCAATAGTAATAATTAATGGAGAAACAATGTAGGGTGATAAAATCTGGGATACATTTGTATGGATATGGATAGGAACGTATCATTAATGTAAAGAGCGTACAAAGTGGGATGGAGGAGGGAGATGACGTCTCAAACCCCTCTCCTTAGTAAAGGTGCTACAAAACCTCGATGATTGAATTGAATAAAAAGGGAGAATGATTGCCGAATTCTCTGTTTGAAATACAGCACCCCTGGCCACACAAGTGCGTACGCAAAATTATAAAAAAAGGTGTTTTTTTCTTTTTTTCTTTTTTTGAAGAGTGAGAAAACTCTAAACTCCCTCATTCTATCATTAAGAATCCCATTACTCCTCCCTTCCGAATATTACGGTTCCGGTTTTCTTCCAAGTGTCTACTTTTCTGGTGTTGGAATCCTTCTAGCCCTAGGAGGCCACTTGTTGACCGTACAAATTGTAGGTGCATTGTGTCACGGTCGTAGTTTTTGAACCTTGCGGTGTCATGGCTTACACGCGATCATGACTAGTCTTAAGGGGGAACTCAAACTTTGTATACTTTTTGCTCATTTTATGACTTCATCACACCTTAGAGGAGGTTCTTTCTTCCTCAACCAAACATGAATTATGCAGAACTAAGCTGGCATTCGGCCATATATATTGCCTATACGTGTATTTTTCTAAAATTGCAACTTTAGCTGACTTGCCTCTACTCTAAGCCATAGAACCGGAAGACACTATCACTTTAATGGGTTGAGGTCCTTCAAATGCAATGTCATTTCTCATATCATCATCTAGGTTCACAACAACACAGTCCACATGCTTCTACATTGATTTTGAAACTTCATCAGAATGTGTTTGGACCCTTCATTCAGTCAACTTGGCCTTAAAATGCTCAACTAGAGCTTATCGGATGATTTGAGCACTTACCAAGACTTATTGAGACATTATAATGCTTAATGGGGCATAAAAGCTAAATATCATGCTAATTAAAAACTTTCGAGTCTCATCAATGCTTCATGATGTCATCCCGAGTGTCGGGATGTCATCGACCTTCGCGGCTCGCTTGGACATGCTTATCGAGAATCAACACATGGGTCAATTTTGTATTCAGAACCCTCTCGAACATCCATCCATTTAAGCACTATTGAAGAGTAAGCCCTTCCATGTCCATGCCAAGTCATTTCTACATACTCTACATACTGTGTTGAAGCGCTCAACCTCCAACTTAAGGGACAGGCAACAACACACCTATGCCACCCAACACTATTATAAAAAGCCCATTCCCAAAAGAAGACGTCCTAGACACTTGTCCATAATGATACATGCATGTGTCGTGGGGTAGCTTAGGCTCTGAGACCTCTCAACTTAGACTGCTTGTCTGGTGTCTGATTAACACCAAGTTTTCCGAGCTTACATATTTCACTTATACAGACTTAGCTCCAGAGCGGCTTGTTGAATCTCATGACAGAACCTCAACTTTCGAGATTATGTCTTGTACCTCATCTGTCTCATTAAGCTTGTTTCTGACACCCTTGACAATACTGTCACTTCTATTCTTGCTTACACCTTAGATTGACAATCGAGCTCTCTACTTTTGTTGTGCTAGATGTATCATCATTCTTATCCACATCATGACACTTGTCTTTTTTGATCCTCATGTGGCCCGATAGGCATCACTCACTTGTCGCCTTCTATCTATCATCACTAGTGGGAGTATGGTTGTGACACTCTCCTCTACTAAAACTAGTCATCGTCCTCATTGACATAGTGGATTGCACTCTCTTCCACTTAATCTTGACATCCTTCTGACGTCAATTCCAACTTTTGGTTGATTGCTAACTGACTCGTGATAAAATAATCTTGTTTTAGAACGAATATGATAAATGCTCAGTACCTACGAGTTCTCACCTTCGGACCTACCTATGCTCGTTCTTAGGACTTGGCCTTGAGACTCGCAACATATGCAAGACAAAGCTTTTGATGTCATTTGGTCATAGCTTAACTTTGGATGCTTCTTGGTCAGCTTGGTGACACTTTCCCCAACGTAATCTTGACACTTCAATACACATTCTCGTAACAATGCACTCTTTAGGGTGAGACTCGCAAGCCTACCTTTGTATTGCCTCTTTATGACACCAGCCCATACGGTAGCAAAGTCTGGAAGCTCTATGACACAGCCTTCTCACTTGCTGGCACCCATTCAACCAACTCTCAACTTGGCCACTTGTAGCAAATGCTACAATGATGTTTTACTCTGGTCTTGCTACATTTCTCTCTTCTTTATCTCTTACATCCTACCTAGTGCTTCTTCTTGAGGGAACGCTGGTCTCAACAACTTCTTATGAAGCAACTTACTTAGGCATGTCGAAGACTTATGCATACTCATTTCTCTCGCAGCATTTCCACATGCAAGCAAGCAACCAATTCACTTGAGTTACTTACCTCTGCTCTCTCTTCACCATGACGTCCACTCTTAGGACTACTTTTTCTTTTATCAACAGGCTCTTAACTCGGCCACACTGTCCACCCACATGGACTTCGTCAATTCTCACTTGGCACCCGACTAGCATGTCACCTTGACCATTGGCTTCTATGTTTGCAATCATTATCATTACCCCTCTAGTGGTAATGACCTTTTGGAAGACATCTTAAATGTTACACCTTCTCATCATCTCTTTTCTAAAATGGATCTCCAAGCCCTTGGAAAATGAGCTTGGTATCACAATCGCACTTTCTAAGCCATGCGACATCATGGCTTACACACGATCATGACTAGTCTTAAGGAGGAACTCGTGTCCCGTTGTACTTTTCGGTCATCTTTGTGGCTTCATCAAATCTTAAACAAAGTTCTTTCTTCTTTGACTAAAGATGACTTGTGGAACCAAGTTTTATTCGGCCATACACATCGCTCATGCGTATATTTTCCTTCAATTTACTCTAGCTGACTTACCTATACTCTAGGCGAAGTCCTAAGACTCAAGCTTGCCTTTACTCTTGGTCAATGTCCTTCAAATGCAACGTCACATCTTATTTCATCATGTATGTTCTCTACAATACGACCCACACATTTCTACATCGATCTAGAATTTCACTTGGATGCATTCGAACCCTTCATTGGGTATAAATGGCCTTAAAACGCCCCGTCAGAGCTTTGCGAGTCATTACATCATTTATCGAGACTTATTGAGGCATTATAATGCTTAAATGAGCATAAAGCCAACTATCGTGTTAACCGAGAACTCTCGAGTCCCATTGATGCTTCATGGTACGATATCAAGTTTCAAGATGTCATCGACCTTTGCAGGTCGCTTAAGCATGCTTATTGAGAATCGACCCATGTGTTATCTTTATTTTCAAGACCTCTAGAATATTCATCCATCCATCGAGGCACTATTGAGGCATGAATTTTCCTGTATCCCTGCCAAGTCATTTTGATATACGATGCCATAGTCGACCCTATATCTCAGCCTCTGACTCTAGGTAAGGGGCACATGTCGGCACCCTTGTGCCACCCTACATTGTTCTCAGAACCCATTTCCAAAGGAAGATACCCAAGACTCTCGTCTTGGAACATTCATTTGCTCACACCATGACACACCTATAGTTCATAGGCTAACTTGGAGGCCTAGGGGTGGTGGAGAGCCAACACCATGTCTCCCTATATAGTACATATTGAGACGTTTTTTATCTGGCGAGTGTAGACATCAATAGTAACGATGAACAATAGTCAATGTGGAGCGTCTATTTGGTGTTCGATTGACACCAAATTTGGCAAGCTTACATATTTCACTTATACGGACTTAACTCAGAGCTGCTTGTCGAATCTCATGATGGAACCCTGACTTTTGTTTTATGGCTTGGACCCCAACTGATTCCAGTTAGTTCTCTCTCTGACACCCTTGATAACACTATTGCTTCTATTCTTGCTTACACCTTAGCTTGACAATCTTACCCATTCTTCTTGATGTATTAGATTATATATCGTCCTCCTCGGTCACATTATGAAACTTGTCTTTCTCGGTCCTCATGTGGTACAATAGGTGACATTCATATGTCGTCTTCTATGTCATCACTTGTGAGAGTCACAACCTACCCTCTTCAAGTATGGTTATGATATGGTTATGACATAGCAGGAGTTCTAGTTTGTGAGTACATCGCATAGGGAGGGCTGCCTCTAATTGTTTTGTTAATATATTGAGCTCTTGGATGACTAAGCACGAGTACAATTGTTTGGTCTCTTTTGGGCCACTGCTGGATGAATTTAAGATGTTCGGTAAAGTCTAAACTTAAGATTAAAAACATGTTTATTAAATGTTAAGCAGTTGTCATGTATGAAATTAGAAGGGAACTCCATACCTTAATCAATTTGCTTGGTTGATTATAGCATGCCTTTTCTCTATTTTATAGTGTGATTCAGTTTTGCTCCACGGCATTTGCATATTATGCACGAGCAACTGCGGCACAAGAAATCTTTGGACACACATTGCAGTCTCTTCGCGGTATCAAATATTTGTACAAGTGAGTGAGTTCAATCTTATGTAACTGATTTTTCTGCTTCTGAATCTTTTCCATGTGTGTGTTTTCATTCGGTTTGATAAACTTGGCTGTTGCATTGTAGGTATAATGTGTTTCAAATAGCATTCGTTGCGTTGGCGGGATTAACCTTCGTGTATTATGCTGCCTTCGTAAGCTTCCAAAACCAATGTCCTTGTTTGTGCTTTAAACTCCCATTTTCTTGGTGTTCTGATTCCATGGTTTCTCCTTTTGTTTTGTAATCTTTAAGGGATGGAGAAGAAAGAAGCCCACTGGCAGATTCCAGCTTTCCTCGTAATCGTATGTGTTTCCTCGACAAATCGATAACTGACTAGGCCAACAAATTCTCTATTGTTCGTCATCCTTTTTACATTAATTTATTTGAAGGTCGCGTTTGGCGGAGTCTTTCATTGTTGAAACTTCGTGAAGTTGGCTGAAAACAATCCAGAGTTGAGTGAGACATTGTGAGTGCTGCTGCTCTGCTTCTTGACTGTGTGTACTTTAAAAAGCCTTTTGTATGTATTGTTTTCTTTGATTTGGGTTCTACGTTGGCTTAGGGCATGTAAAATTTAACAAAATGGTTGGTTCTTTGAACGCTCTAAAACGGTCTTTTAGGAAATACCTTTCTTTGTAATATAGCCAATTGAGGATGAAATAGTTGTACCATTTCTTTAATTCATATTGATGCTTCTATTTTAATTTATAGTTTAATGGATACCAACAATAAATTTCAATAAATTTGAAGTCTACTTTTCATATTGTATGCCAATTTTTATAGCAAAAAGATCATTTTCTTCCATGTGTGAGTGAAATGTAAGTTTAAGAATAAATAATCATATCATTGGCAATGCATTCTATCAAGATTTGACCATTAGGAACAACACCAACCTATTAAACAAAAAAAATAACAATAAAATTAAAAATAAAAAATTAAGTGTTACACAGTTTCTGTCTAAAATAAAAATTCTTTTATTCGATCGATTACCAATATATTCCCTTGTTCTGTACTTTTTTTTTGTCAATTGAATTGAATCTATTACATTTTTGTTCATATTGAAATGAATCGGAATTGATAAGGAGTTGGTCAATCATGCTCGAACATGTACTTATTCTAAGTGCCTATTTATTTTCTATCGGTATCTATGGATTGATCACGAGCCGAAATATGGTTAGGGCCCTTATGTGTCTTGAGCTTATACTGAATGCAGTTAATATGAATTTCGTAACATTTTCTGATTTTTTTGATAGTCGCCAATTAAAAGGGAATATTTTCTCAATTTTTGTTATAGCTATTGCAGCCGCTGAAGCAGCTATTGGCCCAGCTATTGTTTCGTCAATTTATCGTAACAGAAAATCAACTCGTATCAATCAATCGAATTTGTTGAATAAGTAGTATTTATTTATCGGATAAATTCTGATATTCATCAAGTCAAATTATCTGGTATCAACGGTAACCTAAGTTTAATTGAAGAACAAAAGTAAATGTTACACAATCGTGTTAAGAGTTCTAATATATTGCAATTGTGACTATTTTGTATGTTACACAATCGTGTTAGGAGTCATAATATATTGCAATTGTGACTACTTGGTATGGAATTGAGTCGGTTCCTAAAATTTGAGTTAACAAACAAGTCTGATGCAAAACAACTAAGCAAGTCTCAAGTTGACCGATTGGTTGAGATCGAAGAATAGATGCTCTAACTACGAGAAGTCTTGGAACTTTAGAATCTCACCCGAATAAAATTGCCACTAAATCCTACAAAATCGACCAACTGGTAGGTTGTCTTGATGGGGTTCTCATCTAGGAATTATTCTTGATGGGCATGTCGTTTTAATTCCTCATAGTCGTACTAGTACTCGGAGGCTCGAACTACATGTCGTTCAAGAACTGGAGAACAGTTGATTAGGTTTTCAATTTTCATCCAGGCAGATTCGTCCCGCTCTCGCTCGTAAATGGCAATCCAATTGAATTTGAGTCACGTTTGATGGTTGACGAAGCAGTAAATTCGAGCTCCATTGATTTCGCTTGCGCCGCTCAGCCATACATAGCTTCATTCTGTGCCTTCAATTCTGCATCTCTCTGCAAATTGCAAGAAGGAAATGGACATAGCTCTGTTTTCTCCGTCGTCGCTTTTCCCCGACGAGGACGAATCGTCTAATGGTTCTTACTTAACTCCTATCTCCATCTCTCCCTGCTGCTTGTGGATCGTGCTATGATTTTACTTCTTTAGGATGATGTATTTCGATCCTCTCCCTGTTTGTTTGCTCAGATGAGGGAACTTCAGAGACGCAGCAGAGCTATGAGGAAAGGAAGCATCAATTTCCTGGAATGGTATTGTTTCTCTTCTTGCAGTTCTTTCTTAAGAATTTCGTAATAGAGGTAGTTCAGATGCTTTGTTTTTACCTCTGAACGAAGTTTCTTAGCATTAATTTTAAGCTGATGATTTACCTAAGATGGAGTTCTTTTGGTGGAAGTCGCAGTGCAAATTGTTATGCCACTGGCAGCTCGAGTTGTTTTGTTTATGTGGATTTTTGTTTTCTCACACTACGACATTGGCATTGAACTGCAGGAATTGATTATTCGAGAGTTTTCATTTCATGAGCTGAATGCAAATTTGCTCTGGCCGGGGACATTTTCATTTGCAGAATGGTTGGTTCAAAACCCTCCTTGGATTCAAGGACGAAAATGCATTGAATTGGGAAGGTACAATTATTCAATCGCTTGGGTAGTTAGCAAAGTTATAAAATACAATGTTCATCCCTTAATTTCTATATGGCTCAACTTTGGAATATCATATTTTAGTATGTCAGTTCTTACCAATGATAAATCTTTCATCAGCCCATTTTCATCTTGGGGCACTTGTTCAATTACATATTACTTCAAAAGCTTGGCCATATAGACATTTATAAATCAAGTAAATTAAAAGAAATGTCATGTCAAGTTTCCATTAAATGATTTACACGAAATTAACATTAAGGATTCAAATGATTTTTTTATGCAAAGTTAAAAGGAAAAGTAAAATGTTTGTAAGTTTGAGCGACCAAAATACTTAATTCTTTGATTGCACTTTAATCTTCTTCTATGCCTTAGTCTCTTTGTATGTCCAGCCTTCTCAATCTCCTATATATGCACCACCATCTATTAATTCTGCACCTGTGTTTGCAGTGGCACGGGTTCGTTGGCGATATTTCTACGAAAGTCATTTAATCTTGATATCACAACATCGGACTATGATGATCAAGAAATTGAAGACAACATTGCCTATAATTGCAGTGTGAATGGAATTGCACCGGCCCTTCCTCACATAAAGCGTGCGTGAGTTCTCTTTCTATTCTATAGATTAAAGGATAAGACTTTGTGATGCTAAGATAATATGGCTGCGGATCAATTGAATCTTTCATGAAACATTACTCTTCTGAAGTTCTTGAAAGAATATTTCACCATTTTGAAGTAGTAATCTTTCCCTTCTGATCAAATATAAATCGTAGTGACAAGGATCCTCTAACCGGATTTGATTTATTCTAGACTTTTGAAGATTTTTTTGTTTTAAGTCCGAACAATTTTTATTAATGTAAGAAGACTGAATTTTTGATGTGCTAATACCTTTGAACTCATCGTTCGGTTGGCTTTTAGAAGCGGCGAGCATGTCACCCCTCGGCTGGCTTTTACTTTGTTTCAGCAGCATTTTCTTCAGTATTTCAGGAGCAGCCAAGAAAATTAGTTTTATGTAATTGTCATTATCTGGGATTTTTCTTCAATTTTTTTTTTTTTTTTTTTTTTTCCGAAACTTGTCTTTATTCAGGGATCTAAGAATATTACATAGTTTTTACATTACTATTTTTCCTTTTCAGATACATGGGGAGAGAACTTTCCAATTAGTGATCCTAACTGGGATCTTGTCATTGCCAGCGATATTTTATTGTGTAAGCTCCTTGTCTTTAGTTGTCTATTTGAGATATTTTTCCAGGATTTAATCAACTCAGTTTCGATGGGGAAAAAAAAAGTCAAGTGTTTAGGTAATAGTAATCTCGTTGGTCTTATCAGAGGTACAAAATTTATTTAGGTCCCATACCCCAAGGAGCCGAAAGGAGCTTTAGAAAAGAAATCTTAGCTGAAGTTTATTATTATAAAAAATAATTTAGAGAGTTAGAATACGCCATTTGGATACCAAAAACAAAATTTGTTGATAAAACTTCTCCTTCCTCCCTTGGATATCATGAGAAAAGGGACTGTTGAAAGCACCAATGGATCCTGAGAACTTGAAACAATTCCTCCAAACTCTTTGAGTAAAGAGGAGCTGTGATTCAGATGCTGAAAACCCGGGTTTCCGTGTGTGTTTGCCGAGAATAACCTCTACTGTCTCCACCTCAATAAGATTTTGCACATAATTGAGAGCAAGATTGTTTATACTTTTAAAAAGAGTGGTCTAAGAATTATTAGATAATACGTAGATATTAATTTGTACGAATATATTTTCTCTTGGTATACCTTATCTAGTACAGCACAAAACAAAAGTAGTCGTCTTCTCTTTCCTTGCTAATGGGAATCTTTCCCCAACCTAAGCCCCGTCAGGTCAAAATGGATAAAAAACAATTCTTGAACAAGGATCGAGTGTATGGGTTCAATTTCTTCTCGTCGTGGGGATCATCTCTCTGCTCAAGAGAAGAGCATGACTTCTGAAACTTAGTCAAGTGGGAGCACCCAACCTAATTTTTTTCATTGGGTCCAGATAGAAACCAAAGGTCTTGTCTCATGTCTATCATCCCTTAAATTTTTATCCCTTTTCTTTTTCTTGTTTTCCCAGCTTTTCTCGTTAGAACCATCCAACGTTCTGTTTAAACTTTGTCTGCCCGCTGAATCTAGTAAATTTCGAGTATGATTGAGTCCACATGGTAACATTTTGAAAGACAATCACAATGTTTCTAAAGCCTGCATTGTTAAGGACCGTTGTGGAGACTGTTATTATAGAATACTTACATTAGTAGTCCACTTGTTAAGCTTTGTGTTAACATTACTAAGCTTTCGATAACTTAGTAACTTCCTAAGCTTTCGAATCTACTGAATTCACACAATGAGTTTGTAGATTTTTGCATTTTTTATGGGACATTACCAGACGTGCTCGGAATCTGTTTTTTTCGATCCGGGTGAAAAGAATCATAGAATCATAGGTTATGCTACTGATGTTGCCATCAGTAAAGAGCAAACTTCAGATCCTGTTATTATCTCCCAACTTGACAAAGAATCCTTTCACTCCTCTCCTTTCAGATGTGAAACAGTATCAAAACTTGATAAAAACGCTATCGTATCTTCTCACGCCGTACAATTACAAGCGAAAGTGCAACGAAATGGCTTCTCAAAACGATGGTAATGCCAATGTTGCAAGTTCTATGATTTTACATGGCATGGTAAGAACATTTCTGCAACTTTTTTGATGGTTTTTTTGTGCTTTCAGAGGGTGGTGAATCCCTGGCGAAGCCAATGTTTGTAATGAGCTGGAGGCGCAGAATTGGAAAGGAGGATGAATTGCTGTTCTTCACCGGCTGTGAAAATGCAGGTCTTGAAGTAAAACATTTGGGGTCCCGCGTCTATTGCATCCAATCTATCAAGTAAAATTTTCATCATTATGTTAGTAATTACATTTGTAATAGTTAAACATGTTGGTTAATATTAGGAAGTTACTCAGACTTTCTTACTTAAATTATCTCTTATAAATTATAAGCTTAGTCATTGAACAAAACAAATTTTGGTTCTTATGGTTTATAGTTAGAATGCTGTGCATACAAAATTATTATTGCATTTCTTGCATGCTATGCGAGCACTCAGATCTATCTGAGCTATGTCCGAAGGTTTTAAAATATTATTAAACTATCAATATAATAATAATAACAAAAAAGTTGATCATAATATTGAAAAGAATAAAAAATAATTATACAACAAAATAGGTCAGTTCTATAGTTATTCGGAATCTGATAACGGCTAACTCACATGCATGAATAATAAATTAAGAGTCACAAGATCGACCAACTCTAATGTATTACTGTGGACCTCTGCTACTTGTGACAGATTCACTAATAGAAATTAACTAGCAAACTTCCTAGAAGTCCCCACGAGTACCATCGCATGTTTATGGTTAGGAGTTAGTGGTGAACCTTTAACCGTTCGCAACATATGTAACAGAGACATATCATAATGATCTAAACATGGAAACCTAGTCATAAATGCATGTGTCATCTTAGTTCATTCTCTGCTCACATTCAACATGTGTCATCTCATGTGTCATCTCAGTTTAGTAAATATACATAATCACATTTAACATGTGTCATCTCAATTCATTCTATGCTCAAACAATGTAATCAGATTCTCATAACATGCTTTATATCATACTAAAGACACATTCTCAATTTCAGTCATATTTTAACTCAACAGTTTATTCCTCGAAAACTGCGACTCATAACGGTCAATGTGCTCTTTCATACATCAAATCAACTCATTTCATGCTCAAATTTATATGACATACTTCTCGTATCATACTTTCATGCATACTGCGAGTATAGTTAATTCCAAGGTTCTAAAGTACCACTTACCTAGGAAGCGTGACAATTTTTATTCAAGTTTGCGTCCTTAGACAACTCCAAAATTTTCCAAACTCTTCAAATAGTTCCTACAATGATAAAAATGATGGAATCCGGTGAAAACAACGCCAAAATCGAAGTTAAAACAAAGAAATTATGCAAAAGGAGCAAAACCGACCTAGTTGGACCGCTGCGGGCCGAACCTCCACTCGGGTTGGCTGTCCCCGGGTCACACGCGCCTGGGTTGGGCCGCGCAAGGTGCCTTCACGTTTGGGCTGTGTGGTTTCTCTCCTCTCTCGATTTTTTTTTTCTCTTTCCCCTTCCATTTTCTCTCCCAAATTCGTTTACGACGCCCACAGACTCTTCTCAAATCTCGTAGATCTACTCAAGATGAAGTCATAGATGATTATCTTCTACACATTTGAGAGTTCTTGAAAAGAAAGGCTTACAAAACCCTTACCCAAGGTGTACTTTATCAGATACATGGAACACATTATGGACGATAGCGTGGCAAAGCTAATCTGTATGCTCTATGATTTCAAATGGGCCTATAAAAGAGGGGCTAAGTTTCTCTCTATTCTCGAACCTCGACACTCTTTTCATAGGAACAACCTTGAGAAACACGTGATCTCCCATCTCAAATTTGAGATCCTTTTTTTTGGCGCCGACTTAGCTCTTCTATATGCTCTACGAGGTCTAAATTCATACTCCGATCTTTTGCACGACATCGTTCGTCTTCCATACCAACTCAGGCTCTAATAACGGTTGACTCCCCAACTCTTGCCAAAACACTAGGGATCAAGCACCTCCTACCATACAAGGCTTCAAAAGGTGTCATTCCAATAGTTGCTTCATAGCTATTGTTGTATGCAAATTCTTCTACTAGATGCAAGTGTTTGTCCCAGCTACCTGTAAAGTCCAAGGTACAATCCCTTAACATATCCTCTAAAATTTGATTCAACCGATCTGTATGTCCATCAGTTTGAGGGTGAAACACTATGCTGAACCTACACTAAGAGTATCTCGTGCCTTTTGTAAACTCTTCCAAAATTTTAATTTAACAACCTTTTTAAGAAAAAACTTGCTTCCTAGTACTCTAAAGCAAAGGAAACTATGAATGTATATGATAAGATCCTAAATCAAATCGCACCCGAACATAATTAAATTTTCAATCTTAACCGTACACTTTAATAAATATCACAATTTTAATCTTACGATAAACTTTTAAATTTATAATAAAGGTATTTTGAATTTTTGTAAGAAAACTTAGTTTTAATTTTGTTAATGAATTTCATTAGATTTGTTTTTTTTTTTATATATTTAAATTATAAACAAAAATAATAGAATAATCAAGAATAAAAAATAAACAAAATAATAGAATACTCGAGAAGAAGAAACAAACAAAATAATAAATAATCAGGAAGGAAACAATATAATAGAATGAAAACTCAAGAAGAAGAAGGAAGAAGAAGAAACTAACAAAATAAAATGACATACGTGAGCGGCAGGATTCGAACCTGCGCGGGCAGAGCCCACATGATTTCTAGTCATGCCCGATAACCACTCCGGCACGCCCACATTTGTACATATGAAACCATTTAATTTACATTATATTAATAAAATACAATCCGCTTAATGACGTATAACAAAAGTTCAAAATATATGTAATCTATATTAAAATAAAAGTTTTAAGTAATGTGAATTGATACTTTTAGTATTTTACTTTACGGATAAAATTTAAAATATTATGAAGTTCTCAATATAATAATAATAATAACAACAAAGTTTATCATAGGAAAGAATAAAAAAAATTCAAGGTCTCAATTTTTCATATTCCTCTATTTGCTCTATAAATAAATGTAAAATTAATAAAATCAAAGATATCTTTTCCGTGTTAATTTATTTGGTCTAAATAAAACCTCATTTTGTATAGTCAAGCTCGATATCCGAAAGTAAAGCCCACATAATTTTTTAAAATTTTTTAATGATTAAAATTTTTATGATTAGCTGATGATTAATGTAATTAATGATTAAAATTTTTTAAAAAAATATTGATATTGGCTTGGAATATAGTTGGAGGGCTTTTGAATGCAACTTGTGGAAATGCAACAGAGATAGAGTAATCTCTCTTTACCTTTCTCTCTCTTATTTTTATTTTTTTAATTATAATTAAAAAAAGTCACATCAATAATAAGATAATAATTAATCTCAAAAATTAATTGTTCGAATTAAGATGGTTGACCAAGGGTAAAACGAGTAATAAAAGTTATATAGTGTATTTATTGAGGGTTTCTTTTTTTAGGTATTTACATAAAAAAGGCATAATTTGAGTTTATATTGGGTTAAAAAATCTAGAAATTTTATTATTAAAATAAAAAAGAAAAAGTCAAGGGTCATAGTTTTGACTTTAATTAAAAATTAACTGATTAATTATGTATTTATTATTGTAATTTTAACAGAGACAGGCAGATGTGAACCCACTGATACTGATGCTGTCATTTCTGTGCCATTTATTGCCGTTATTCTTTGGGTACGCCGCCACCACCTCCACCGTTGCAGCCGCCGCCTCCACCCTCCACCTGTCCAGAGCCAGCAGCATCGTTATGCTCTCGGCTTACATTGCTTACTTGGTCTTCCAACTCTGGACTCACCGCCAATTATTTGAAGCCCAGGTAAGATTATAATACACATTAAAATCCTTAAAAATAAAATAAAATTATTTTTAATTTGATTTTTGAAAAATTAGGAGGATGAAAACGACGACGTACCAGTAGAAGAGGCAGTTATTGGATTCTGGAGTGCATTTGCATGGCTTGTAGGAATGACACTCCTGAATGCTTTGCTGTCGGAATACGTGTCAACACAATTGAGGTAAAACTTAGATGTATATATTCAAAGCCTTTTTTAACCTAAAGTTTTTATGAAATATTGTAACTTATATTATAAATATTATAACCTAAGTTCAACACAATAAGAATAATAAGACATTTTCTAAATACTTTATTTTTAAATTATCTAAATTATTTTACTAAAATAAATATACAATGAGTTCATACAATTATTGCGTGGGCCAATGATGATATTTGAACTCAAAATTGACATTTTCATTTGTCGGTGAGTTTCTTCGGTATAATCTTGCTCCCTATCGTCGGGAATGCAGCCGAACACGCCGGAGCTATCATCTTTGCCTTAAAAAATAAGTTGGTAAGCTTGTCGTTTATCATTCCAATTAACGTAAGACAACAAATAGAAATCGATATAAATGTTTGTTTTTTGTTTGAGGACATAAGTTTGGGGGTTGCTTTGGGGTCAGCAACACAAATTGCACTTTTTGTGGTAAGAATGTGTAATTAATGAAGATTTGAAACCCTATAACAATTCTATTTGGAACCCTAGAAAAGGTTGAAATATCAGGAACTGACCCCAAAAGAATGGGTAATTAATTGCAGATTCCAATGTGTGTGATCGTTGCTTGGACAATGGGAGTGGATATGGATCTAAATTTCAACCTCATGGAAACGGCGTCGCTTGGATTAGCCATTATTACCACAGCCTTCGCCTTACAAGATGGAACCTCTCACTATATTAAAGGCCTTGTTCTTCTGTTATGCTATGTTATTACTGCGGCTTGTTTCTTTGTCTCCAACGCTCTTCGAAAGTCTATTTCACGTAAGCTAAGGAATCTCGGTTGGTTTAGTTTCTATTTGAATTAGATAGAACTTATGAGTGTTCGTATGACTCGAGAATCCGACCAATCTAGACTATCCAACCCAAATCGTAAAGTTGGGTTGGATTAAATTTTTAGAAAATCGAAAAATTTAGATCGGTTGGTAGGTGGGGTTTTTTTTTTTGGGTGACTAATAAGAAAATAGGGTTATAACTCAAACCTACTTTTTAGATTTTTACGAAGATTAAGAATATTTGACGTTTACAACTTATGTTAGTGATATATTGTGAGTTGTGAACGTTTGATATTTGGATTTTATGAGATTTTAGTTTAGGGTTTAGGGTAACTCGATAACCCAACTTAACTCAACCCGACCTACGTGAATTTCAAGTTAGTTCAAAAGATTTTCTCAACTCAACTCAATCAACACGAACACACTCATAGAAAAACTTGTTTCGAAACCTGAATTTGTCTCGTTTGTATTTGGATA